CTATATCACGATATATCTTTATTACGAATCCTAAGTTTTTGGGGACTTTTAATATTAGTCCTTTCGATCATTTTCGGCGGTGTAGATTCCCTTATTATGCATTGGCGTTTATACAATCTTATGTACGTTTGTAAATATAACCCGAAAAGACATCTATATCATAAAAGAAATTTAGGCTAACATTTTACGAAATGAAACCAGAGAAATAACTGAAACACAACAACTTGAAATCTTCTGAAATTCTTATAAAAATAAAATAAAACTAGTAAAACCTTGACTACAAAAAAAAAAAATAGGGCCCAGACGAAGATCCAAGTCTGGGGTTCATTTCTTGCCAATCAGATATTTGGTCTAGCACAAAGGCGAATGAAAAGAGCCATATACGAATAGAATCAAAGCTGAAGAAATATAGACTCCAGAGGAAATCATCTCAAAGTGGAGGTATCATATAGGAATAATGATTTGCTTAAGTTTGAATACGGATCGCCACAGTCGACCTCATTTTGAAATATTTAGATCACGTGATATATATATATATATATATATATATATATATATATATATATATATATATATACACGTCCCGAGATTGTACAACCGTCAATAAATAGCACACTCTTTAAAAAAAAAAACATCTTTCGGTCTACAAACAATTATTTCGTCTTCAAGTTTTAATTTTAAAGGAAAGAAACTACAGCCTGACGATGAAGGAATGATTCTTCGAAAGTATTTGCTTAACTTAAAAGAATATACACAAGAAACATCTGACAACAGTTTTATAAATGAGGATCACATCATTCAATGGATTAACAGTATTTTAATGCATACATTATGTTCTACTAGCGAAGTGATTTCGCCATTAATCGCATTAATATTGCTGATTGATTCTATGTATGATTATTTCTTTATATATATATATATATATATATATATATATATATGAGATATAATAATAAGATAATTCTCATATATATATGAGAATTAGCAGCGTCTGACCGTGTATCGTTCGAAAGATTTACTATTAGTGTGTCTGTGATTTACAAAATCTCTCCAACGGGCCCGTCATGGGTATGACGATAAACTACATCCGCGTCCAGGGTAAGACAAGAAACTACGTCCAACAGCATGCTTTTTATCAGGAGTCTTTGAGTATCGTGGAATCACCTCTTATTTGCTGGTGTTCCCAGTTTCATCCAAAACCGGGTGGTAGCTCCTGTTAGGGTCCCAGCTATGGGCAAATAGTTAACGCTGAAACTGAGGTAAAAAGCATTATGTAAATGGGAAAATCGGTTTTAATGGCAAAAATACTTTGTAAAAAAAACTACTTCCAGAAATAAATTTTTGAAGGAAAAAACTATTACCAGCAATACGTTTTTGAAAATAATATTATCAGCTATACAATTTTGAGGAAAAAATATTACCATAAATAGATTTTTCACAAAACAAAAATATTATTGGAAAAAAATTTGTCTGCATTAAATTATCCATTGAGCATGATATGCTGTAAAACAAACCAAAGCAACAACCGGGCTTTACAGAAAGCTGAAAGTAGCTTCTATTTTTTAAAAAAATCAGGGTTTCTATCTCAAATCAGCTGCTACTACGTATATCCACTACAGCCAAAAATCTGTATGTAAACTCATTAGCTCCAGAAACGTAATTCAGAGATCGCTGTCTTCAATGGGAGCACGTCAAACTTATAGGTTTGCGTTGGACTACCTTACAGCACATCCACATGTTGGATTATTTAATATTAAAAAAGAATATCGTTTTTTTGAGATTATTGGCAACTGTCGATGATATATATATATATATATATATATATATATATATATATATATATATATATATATATATATATATATATATCTGAGATGAGGTATTATGTACATTATTTACATTATTCGGACTATTGTCCTCATCTTTGTCGCCATGTTTATCATAACGTTTCGGCCGTTTTACACTCCGGCCTTCTTCAGGTGGTTGGAATTTCGAACTGAACCCTTTATTTCGCTCACTGGGGTAGACTGTTCTAGTTTCACGTGCCAAGGACACATGGCACAGTGGATAAAGGCGTTGGTTAGATCCAGTGACAGGACCCAAAGAGTGTGAGTTTAATACCCGGTTAAGGAGGTGGAGAACTTTCAGAGGGAAATTAGCAGGAGATAACTGATAACTGACATCCATCAAAACATGGCACGTGGAACTAGAACAGTCTACCCCAGTGAGCGAAATAAAGGGTTCAGTTTGACATTCCAACCAGCTGAAGAAGGCCGGAGCGTACAATGGCCGAAACGTTGTGATAAACATGGCGACAAAGATGAGGACAATGTAAATAACGTATATATATATATATATATATATATATATATATATATATATGAAACCCTCGATTAGTGCTGCAAATTGTACATCGGTAATTATAAAACTCTATTATAAATTACTATGGTTTAACGTTTTATCGCACTAATCGAGGATTATGTATGCTTCTTGCTTCTTGCGTGTCGCTTCAGGACGTGGGTGATCATAGTTCTCCATTTCTTCTTGTCCCTTGTAGCTGTCAGTATGTTTTGTCCCAAACTCTGTTCTGTCATCCAGATGCTTAAGCCTGTCAAGCATGTCACGCCTTGCTTTCTTTTGTCTCATTTCCCCTTGTCCTACTCTCCTCTGTCCGCCCCGTGAGTATCAGATTTTCACAGCCCTCCATCCACAGTAATTCTGCAAGAAATTTCAGCTGCCTCTTCCTGATGTTAAGTATTCGTTCCTGCTTTGTTTCTATCCTCTCCAAACCCTCATCCTTGCTCACATGTTCGGTCCATATGATCCTTCTGTAGATCAATAAATCTGTTACCTCGAGACCGTCTCCATCTTTGAGGAGACCGTCCGACATTCGACGACATAAAGGAGGACAGATATCACGTAGCAGTTCGGTAGTCTTTTCTTTGTTTCCTGTCTCGTAATACTCTGCCTCGCTTTTCGAGCGCGTCGTTGGCCATCCCAGTACGTGAGAAACAGTAATACTGAGTAAAATTGTGAGTTTGGATTCAAATGTAGATCAAACATGTGTCAGAATCCGACACAAATAGATTAGATAAAGACAAGTATATACAGTCATTCTCGTGTTATTTTATAGAAGGGTCTAATGAGAGTTCAGAGATATTTAGCATCGTTCGGTAATACCATACATTTGTGGCCTCGTATCTCTTCTTCATCTTTGAGGAGACCGTCCAACATTCGCTGCCGCAAACGACGACAGATATCACGTAGCAGTCCGGTAGTATTTTCTTTGTTTTCCGTCTCTTAATACTCTGCCTCGCTTTTGGAACGCGTCTTTCGCCATCACAATACGTTTTATAGATTGGTGTAATGAGTTTTCAGATAATGAGAAACAGCAAAATGTGGAAGCAAGAAAACGATTATTATTTATTATCTGGTTGTTACGTTGTGCTGGCGACGCGGGAAACAGTAAAATTGTGAGTTTGGGGGTCAAATGGAGATTAAATATGAATCAGAATCCGACAGAAAATGATCAGATAAAGAACAAATAAAGTATATACAGTCTTTCTCACGTTATTTTATAGAAGAGTGTAATGAGTACGATTTTTGAAGAAAAAATGACAAAGAAAATAATATATATATATATATATATATATATATATATATATATATATATATATATATATATATCTGAGATGAGGTATTATGTACAGTATTTACATTAGTCGGACTATTGTCCTCATCTTTGTCGCCATATTTGTCACAACGTTTCGGCCGTTGTACGCACCGGGCTTCTTCAGGTGGTTGGAATTTCGAACTGAACCCTTTATTTCGCTCACTGGAGTAAACTGTTCTAGTTCCACGTTTTGATGGATTTCAGTTATTAGTTATCTCCTGCTAATTTTCCCTCTGAAAGTTCTCCACTGCCTTAACAAGGAATTCTTTGGGTCTGTCACTGGATCTAACCAACGTCTTTATCCACTGTGCCATGTGTCCTTGAAGACATCTGGATATGAACTTCTGAGTATTATAAACCTAATGTTTTCAGCATCATTTTTACCAGTGCTCATATTGCAATTTTTGCTGTTATCATTGCATGTCTTTACCAGAGTTCATATTGCAATATAGACAGAGTGTAATGAGTGTTAAGAGATATTTAGCATCCTTTTGTAAAAACATACCTCTGTTGCCTCGAGTCTCTTCTTTGAGAAGACCGTCCAATATTCGCTGCATTGAAAGTGGACAGATATCAGGTAGCAGTTTAGTACCCTTTTCTTCATCACAAACGAAATCCTCCTGTTTGGTAATACTCTGCATAGCTTTTAGAATGCGTCTCTGGCCATCCCAATACATCTTCGGATCTCAGCGCCGTACTTACCGTCCTCTGTCAGAACACTTCCAAGATATTTAAATTTCCGCACCTGCTTGATTTTAGTGTCGCTGACATGTAAAATGCATTCCGGGCTCATCTTTTTACTGATGGCATTTTGTCGTCTTGGAGTTTATATTAGGTTGGGGCAAAAATAATGACGTAATAATGTCGTTTTTTGACGTATTTTTTAAGGTCAAAAAACGACATTATTACGTCATTATTTTTGCACCAACCTAATAGATAGTCCCTTCTTCTCGCTCTTCTTCGATATCTTCTCTGAGATGTTTTGTAATTTTCTTTTCTGTGTCCGCTATCACCACGGTGTGGTTTGCGTATCTCATGTTGTTAAATCCCTTATATTTATAGATACAAAATTACTCGTAATAATGAGAAACAACAAAAGGTGGAAGCAACAAAACGAATATTATTTATTGTCTGGTTGTTATGCATCGCTGGAGACGCGAGAAATAGTAAAACTGAGAGTTTATGGGTTAAATGGAGAATAAATATGAATCAGAATCCGACAGAGAATGATAAGATAAAGAAAACGTAACGTATATTCAGTCTTTCAAGGATGTTATTTTAGATTGGTGTAATGAGAGTTCAGGGAAATTTAGCATCCTTCAATAGA